AAACAAGACATACTACACATACAATGAGAATTTTAGAGAGATGATACTGGATATGGTCAACCAAAATGTACAGGAGACACTCAAGAAATTCCAAGACAACAAAAATAGAGAATTTGAAAAAGCAAAAGAAGAAATAAAGGAAACCATAGAAGCACTGTATAAATACCAAAGTGAAACAGAGAACACGATTAATAAACAGATAAATGAACTCAGGACAAAAATAGTCAACATTAAAGAGGAAACACCCAGGATATGTTAAACCTCAGAAAAAAGAATGAAACAGAATTGCAAACAAAACAGAAGACCAATCCAGCAGAATAGAACAAACAGAAGACAGAATCTCAGAAGTCGAAGATGAAAGGGTAATTAAAGGAAAAACCGAAGAAATATCAATTAAACAACTCAAGACCTGTGAAAAGAAAATGCAAGAACTCACCGACTCCATCAAAAGACCAAACTTGAGAATCGTGGGCATCAAAGAAGGAGAAGAGGTGCAAGCAAAAGGAATGCGCAATATATTCAACACAACAATAACAGAAAATTTCCCAAATCTAGAGAAAGATATTCCCATACAGATGCAAGAGGCCTCCAGGACACCAAACAGACCAGATCAAAATAGAACTACCCCACGACATATCATCATTAAAACAACAAGTACAGAAACTAGGGAAAGAATATTGAAGGCTGTAAGAGAGAAAAAACAAATAACATACAAAGGTAAACCCATCAAAATCACAGCAGACTTCTCAACACAAACATTAAAAGCAAGAAGAGCATGAGGTGAGATCTTCCTGGCACTGAATGAAAATAACTTCAACCCCAGGATGCTCTAACCAGCAAAACTATCATTCAAAATAGATGGAGCAATAAAAGACTTCCATGATAAGCAGAAACTAAAACAATATGTGACCACAAAGCCACCACTACAAAAGATTCTTCAAGGGATTCTGCACACAGAAAGTGAAACCCAACATAAGCATGAAAGGACAGGCAGCACCAAACTACAGGAAAAGAAAAAGCAAGAAAGTAGAGAGTAACCTCAACTTAGATACACACAATCAAACCTTCAAACAACTAAGACAACTAACTGACAGGAATCACCACATACCTATCAGTAATAACGCTTAATGTTCACCCATCAAAAGGTACCACTTGACGAAATGGATTAAAAACGAAAATCCAGCAATTTGTTGCTTACAGGAGACCCATCTCACTGAAAGAAATACACATAGGCTTAGGATGAAAGGCTGGAAGAAGATTTACCAAGCCAATGGCCCCTGAAAACAGGCAAGAGTAGCAATACTTATCTCTGACAAAGTAGACTTCAAACCTACATTGATCAAACGAGACAAAGAAGGACATTCCATACTATTCCCATTTGCAGACAACATGATCCTATACCTTAAAGTCCCAAAAAACTCTACTCAGAAGCTTCTAGACATCATCAATCGCTACAGCAAAGTAGCAGGATATAAAATCAACATAGAAAAATCATTAGCATTTCTATACACTAATAATGAACAAACTGAAAAAGAATATATGAAAACAATTCCATTTACAATAGCCTCAAAAAAACATCAAATACTTAGGTGTAAACCTAAAAAAAGATGTGAATGACCTCTACAAGGAAAACTATAAATTTCTGAAGAAAGAGATTGAGGAAGACTATAGAAAGTGGAGAGATCTCCCATGCTCATGGATTGGTAGAATCAACATAGTAAAAATGTCTGTACCTCAAAAATAATCTACATGTTTAATGCAATTCCCATCAAAATTCCAATGACATTCATTAAAGAGATTGAAAAATCTACCATTAAATTTATATGGAAACACAAGAGGCCACGAATAGCGAAGGCAATACTCAGTCAAAAGAACAATGCAGGAGGTATCACGATACCTGACTTCAAGCTATATTACAAAGCAATAACAATAAAAACAGCATGGTACTGGCAAAAAACAGACATGAAGACCAGTGGAACAGAATAGAGGACCCAGATATGAAGCCACACAACTATAACCAACTTGTCTTTGACAAAGGCGCTAAAAATATATGATGGAGAAATAGCAGCCTCTTCAACAAAAACTGCTGGGAAAACTGGTTAGCAGTCTGCAAAAACCTGAAAATAGATCCATGTATATCACCCTATACCAAGATTAACTCAAAATGGATCAAGGATCTTAATATCAGACCCCAAACTCTAAAGTTGATACAGGAAAGAGTAGGAAATACTCTGGAATTAGTAGGTATAGGTAAGAACTTTCTCAATGGAACCCCAGCAGCTCAGCAACTAAGAGATAGCATAGATAAATGGGACTTCATAAAACTAAAAAGCTTCTGTTCATCAAAAGAAATGATCTCTAAACTGAAGAGAACACCCACAGATTGGGAGAAAATATTTGCCAGCTACACATCAGACAAAGGACTGATAACCAGAATATATAGGGAACTTAAAAAACTAAATTCTCCTAAAACTAATGAACCAATAAAGAAATGGGCAAGTGAACTAAACAGAACTTTCTCAGAAGAAGAAATTCACATGGCCAAAAAACACATGAAAAAATGCTCACCATCTCTAGCCATAAAGGAAATGCAAATTAAAACCACGCTAAGATTCCACCTCACCCCTGTTAGAATAGCCATCATTAGCAACACCACCAACAACAGAGGATGCAGGAAAATGGAACCCTGTTACACTGTTGGTGGGAATGTAAACTAATACAACCACCCTGGAAAAAAATTTGGAGGCTACTTAAAAAGTTAAACATTGATCTACCATTTGATCCAGCAATACCACTCCTGTGGTTATACCCAAAAGACTGTGACACAGGTTACTCCAGAGGCACCTGCACACCCATGTTTATTGCAGTACTATTCACAATAGCCAAGTTATGGAAAAGCCAAGATGCCCCACTACTGACGAATGGATCAAGAAAATGTGGTATTATACACAACGGAATTTTATGCAGCCATGAAGAATGAAATGTTATCATTCACTGGTAAATGGATGGAATTGGAGATCATCATTCTGAGTGAGGTTAGCCTGGCCCAAAAGACCAAAAATCGTATGTTCTCCCTCATATGTGGACATTAGATCAAGGGCAAACACAACAAGGGGATTGGACATTGAGCAAATGACAAATGCGGGAGCATAGAAGAGAGATATGAGGATAGGTAAGACATCTAAAAAATTAGCTAGCATTTGTTGCCCTCAACGCAGAGAAACTAAAGCAGATACCTTAAAAGCAACTGAGGCCAATAGGAGAAGGGGACCAGGAACTAGAGAAAATGTTAGATCAAGAAGAATTAACCTAGAAGGTAACACACATTCACAGGAAAGTAATGTGAGTCAACTCCCTGTATAGCTATCCTTATCTGAACTAGCAAAAACCATTGTTCCTTCCTATTATTGCTTATACTCTCTCTTCAACAAAATTAGAGATAAGGGTAAAATAGTTTCTGCTGGGTATCGAGGGGGTGGAGGGGAGAGGAGGGGGCAGAGTGGGTGGTAAGGGAGGGGGTGGGGACAGGGGGGAGAAATGACCCAAGCATTGTATGCACATATGAATAATAAAATAATGAAAAAAATAAATAAAAAATAAGAACATTGCTAGAGAATGGTAAAATAGTGAGAAGATGAGAAAAATAAGAAGAATTTAGAGTTGAACATCCTAATAGCCATGACAGTGTGGCTGAAAAGATTACAATCACATTTTAATTTACTAAAACATAAATTTTACATCAATATAAAAATAGTCAAGATTATAAAATCACAGGGCTATGCTTGTAGAAGTAATTACACATTTGAGGTATTTCATTCTCTTAATATTGTTTAAAATATATGATGTATGAAAGTAAATATGTAACTAAAATAAATAAATAATAATAAGACAAAAGGCATATGTGACAACCATTACAGAAAATGTTTTTAGACAGACGCAAAGATGAATAGTGCTGTGAAGTGCATATTGTGGAAAACATGGGATTTGAGACTAGTCAGATAAAGGAGGTGAGAAACAGAGATGGGAGACATGGAGCACACAAGGCTCAGAGGCAGAACGGTGTTTCAAGGATCATTAGTATAGCATTTTGGCTAGAAGGAACTAGCGGTATATTTTTTAATGCACACAATATAAAGGAACCTAATTAAAATAATTTAAATGTTAACTGTTTTCTTTCAGTGATTCTCAAATTACTTCTAGTACAAGCTAAAAAATATTACCCACATTTCAATTAATGAGAAGTAGAAATATGAATTAAGGAAATGAAAGTTGCAGAGGAAAGTTTCAGCTACTTTCAATATAAAATTCCAAAGTTCTCTGGGGTAAAGTAAAATGTGAAGCATCATGCCTGCAATTCCAGCTACTCGAGAGGCAGATCATGAAGATGGAAGCTTGAGGCCAGTCTGGGCAAAAAGTCAGTGAGACACCATCTCAACAAATAAGCTGGGCATACAGGCATGTGGCTATAATCCCAGCTACATGGAAAGCAGTAGGTAGGAGGATTGCAGTCTGATGCTGATCCATGGCAAAAGTGAAAAATACCTAAAGCCTAAAAGGGCTAGGGGTGTGGCTCAAATGGTAGGGTACCTGCTGAGCAAGTGTGAGGCCCTTGGTTCAAATCCCAATACCACACACACACACAAAAGGAGATCAACCAATAAATTAAACAGACTTTTACTTTTGTTAGATGCAGAAGTATGCTCCATGACAATAATAAGAAAAAACTTCGATGAAATAAAAATTATACTTGCTTATGGGGTCAGAGAAAATGAGTAGATGCCAAGTAACCATTACTAATTACAGAATTTGTGAAAATTCAAACTCCTTTATTCAAAAAGTACTAAGAATTTCAAAACGGTGATATCAGAAAATGAAACTTGGGCCCTCTGCAATAGCAGAGGTCACATGCCCATGAAGCCAGTCCTGCCTGAAAGCTCTGACAACCTGAAATTCAGAGAGAAAGGAAAGTAAGTCAGAGTAAAGCTGTGACACTTCCTTACCTGGAAGTTAAATCGGGGCATCCACTGACGCTTCCACTGGACCGCCATGGTGCACAACTTTGCAGAGATGAAGAGAAATCAGCTGGGCCTTAGGTGTCAGTGTGAGCTGGGGGAACAAACTGGAGAGATACCCAAATGCAAAAACAATGATTCAGCCAAACAATCCCTTCCCTCACCCTCAAATCTCACTTTTGAATTTCATCAAAAAAGATCAGTGAAGAAGGGGGCTGGAAAGAGAAAAACTATGCACAGTTTTTCTGTGCATAGTTATAAGAACTAACTGTGTTATAACTAACACAGTTTCTGTGTTAGTTATAAGAACTAACAGTTCTTATAACTGTTGGATTCTAGGGCCCAGAGTTGACCCCAAAGGTGAATTACAAATATCTAAAACTTCAGTCAAACTTCTCCCAGCTGAAATGTTGAGAAGATACAAGAGATTACTATGAAGGAAGAAATTTGAGGTTGAGTTAATCACAGGTGAACTCAATCTAGTTCAGGTTGCAGCTAACCCTAAAGCTCATCCTAACCCTACGAGGATTCTGCAGGTCAGCCTTTCATTCTAAATGCCAAAGAAAAGAAAAGGCTTGTGCTCTCTGAAAATTAAACAAAATTAAACTTCAGTCTCCATGATGTTCATTACAAAATGTCTAACCCACAATACAATTGCAAGCTGTACAGAGAGGGAAAATGGGATCCATAATCCAGGAAAAAATATTGATATAAATCAATGAACTGAGAAAATAGTTATTGTAATTAGCAGACAAGGACTTTAAAATAACTATAATAAGTACACTAAAGATTTTACAATATAAGTTGGACAATAGTTTAAAAAGAGATAGTGTATTTCAAAACAAATGGACACTTTAAAAAAGAAACATGAAAATTCTATAACTATTAATATACTAATAAATAAGAGAGCTGATGTGTTTAATATTACTATCAGGCAAAATAGGCCTCAAAGTATTGCCAGACAGACTGATAAAGTGATAGTTTATTAAGGAGACATAACATGCCAAATATGTTTGTATCTAATAACAAACGTCAAGATAAATGTAGCTCAAATTGATAAAACCAAAGGGAAAAATAAAAAATCACATTTACAGTTGAGATATAACACACTTGAATGAGTAATTGATGAATCAAGTATACACAAAATCAAAAAGGAAATAGGAGATGTGAACATTATTAAGCAATTTAACCTAATTTGTAGAATAACTAAGCCCCACAACTGTAAGAACATACAGTCCTTTAAAGGATGAAACACAGAACATCCTTGTTCGTCTATATGTAATCTGTTTCTTTCATCTGACTGCCTTAAAATTTTTCTCTTTATTACTGGTTTTCAGCTGTTAGTTGCTTTTTTTTTTTTTTCCTCTGTATTTCCTACTTTTCTCTCTTTTAATCTTGTTTTGGTTTGTTGAACTTCTAAATCTGTACATTTATAGTTTCTATCAAATTTGGATAACTATCATCACTTATTCATCATTTATTTTTTCTGCTACTATCTTTCCTTCGAGGACTCAAATTGAATCTATGTTAAATAGCTTGAGCCTGTCTCCTTCCAACTTTTTTTTTTAATTTCTGTGCTTTAGTTTGGAGAGTTTCAATTGCTGTATCTTCAACTTCACTGAGTTTTTCTTCGGATATGGCTAATCTGCTGTTGGGTTTACCCAATGAAGTATTCATTTCAACCAAGGTGACATTTTTCAGCTCTAGAAGTTCAATATTAAAAAAAATTTCTATATCACTATGTTCACATTTTTATGTAAAATCTTGAGCATATTTATAACAGCTTTTTAAAAGTCCAGAGTTATTTCCACAATCTTTGTCATAAACGTTTTTCCTGAAAAATTTTAGTCTGATTTTCCTGCTTTTTCAGATGTTTGATTAATTATTTGATTGAATGTCTAATACTGAGAATGTTTTTTTTTTCCAAGTGCCTAAATTTTCCTTCAAAGTGTGTTGAAGTTTGTCTTGTCAGGCAATTATTTATAATCAGCATGAGTCTTTTGAGGAGGGTTTTTAGGTTTATAAGTGTGTATTCAGAAACTTTCTCTCTTAAGGTAATTTAGTCCTATTCGTAGGGTGAGACCATCTGGGGTCTCCACTAAATGGCCTTTGTATTAAACTAGGTACCTCAACTCAGGTCAGAACTTGAACATCTCCCAGTCTTGTGATAGCTCTAGGAATTTTACAGCGTTCATCTCCCTGATAATTATTCGTTTATTAGCCTACAACATTTTATTCTATACATGTGCATAATGTTTGGCCAAAGATGCAAGTAAACCTCTTTACAGAATTCTGGGGCATTTTTTTTTTCAGAGTTACTCATTCTCCAGTACTGTTGTCTGAAAAGCCCAGTTCGTTGGCCTTGTTAAATTCTGACAGAAGTCTCTCCAAACTGGCAGCTTATCTGTGTTCTACTTGCGTTCCTACCTTGCTGTGCCATGTTCCAGAAAGTGCTTCAGGAAGAATACTGAAGATTGTAAGGCTCATTTCGTTTTTGAGAGCACAGTCCTGGGCTCCTTTTGTCCAATATGCAAAAACAGCAGTTACCTTTATTTTTTCCAATGTTCTAAGATGTTCATGGCTAGAAGACAAACCTTTTTGAACAGTTCACTCTTCATTTTAAGACTTCACTTTTTGTTTTAGGTTCACAGCAAAATTGAGTGGAATGTCTAGAGAGTTCTCATACCCATAGTTTTACAGAGGCACAGCATCCCACATTATCAATCCTGTGCCCCAGAGTGGAATACTTCTCACAATTTATGAACCTACATTGGTGCATCAACACCAAATATCCACAATTTCTTTTAGTAGTTACTTTTATGTTTTTGTTTGGTGGTACCTTGTGCTTCCCAGGCAAGTGCTCTACCACTTGAGCCATGCCCCAGCCAGTTTATGGGTTTTTAAAAATGCATAATAACATTCACCACTAGAGTATCATATAAGACAGTTTTATGGTCCTAAAATAATCTGTGCTCCACCTATTCATACCTTCCCTCTCTCCTCAACTACTGATCTCTTTACTGTCTCCTTAGTCTTGTGTTTTCCAGAATACCAGACATTTGGAATCACAATGTATGTGGCCTTTTTCAGATTGGCTTCTTTTACTTTATAAAATGCATGTAAGTTTCATCCATGTCTTTTCTTTTTTCCTTTCCTTTCCTTTCCTTCTTTCATTCATTCATTCCTTTTTTCCCCAATCCTTTTTGCTTTATTTTTCAGATAGGGTCTTACACTTTTGCCAGGGGCCCTTTCAAGACTATGATCCTCCTACTGCAGCCTCCTGCATAGCTGGGATTAAAGGTGTGTACCACCAGTTCCAGCTCTTTTTTTGAAAAAGGGTCTTGCTACTTTTATTGCCTGGGCTGGCCTTGAACCATGATACTCTCATCTCTGCCTCCTGGGATTATAGGCATGTACCATCACTCAAAGTTCCTACCCATGTCTTTTCATGGCTTGATAGCTCATTTCTTTCTGGCAGTCATGTGGTGAGTCTTCCATAACTATGATAAACATGAGATACGCAACTTATAAAAAGATTTATTTTGGCTCATGGGTTTAGAAGTTTCAGTACACACAGATTGCTTTTGAACCTATGGAAAGGCAACATATCATGTTTGGAGTATGTGGGGACCAAATACATTCACCTCACAACCACCATGCCCAAGACTGAAAGGGGCAAGGTCCTACTATCTCCTTCAAGAGTATGCACACCGGGTCAAAACACCTTCCACCCACTAGGCTCTGCCAATTAAAAATTCTGCCACCTCCCAATAGCACCAAGCTAGGAAACAAGCCTTTAATACATAGGCATTTGGGGGATAGTCCAGATCCAAATTATAGTAGTGAAGTATATTTCATTGTCTGGGTGTATGACAGTTTATCCATTCATCTACTGAAAGGACTCGATTTCTTCCATGTTTTGGCAATTACGAGTAAAGTTGCTACAAACATCCATGTTCAGGTTTTTGTGTGAATCTAAGTTGCCAGCTCATATGGGTAAATACCAAGGAATGCAATTAATAGATTGTATGGTAATAGAATGTTCAATTTTGTGAGAAACTTCCCAAGTATCTTCCAAAGTGTCTGTTCCATTTTACATTTCCCACCAGCAACAGGAGACATTTTCGCTAGCATTTATTGTTGATGGTGTTTAAGATTTTGGACATTTTAATGGCTGTGTAGTGGTAGCTCATTTTTTTAAAAGCTGTAATTTCATAATGACATATGAAGTATTCTAACACTTTTAAATCATTTCTGGTGAGATACTTGCTAAGTCTTTTACCTCCTTTTTTTTAGTGTGTGTTACTAGAGTTTGAACTCAGGACCTTGTGCTTGCTGAGCAAGTGCTCTGCCACTTGAGCCATGCCTCCAGCCACTTTTACTTGTAGGTTATTTTTGCAATAGAATCATGATCCTCCTATCTATGCCTCCCATGTAGCTGGTATCACAGGTAAGTACCACCATGCCTGGCTTATTGAGATGGGGTCTCGCTAATTTTTTACCCAGGATAGCTTCAAACCATAAGACTACTGATCTCTGCCTCCTGAGTAGCTAGAATTACAGGTGTGAGCCACCATGCACTGCTGTTTTGTCTATTTTTGGGGGGGAGGTTGTTCTTTTTTGTTGTTGTTGAGTTTTAAGGATTCTTTGTATATTTTGGATAACAATTTTATTAGACAAGTCTGTTGCTTGTCCTTTATTGGATATGTCTTTTGCAAATATTTTTACCCAGTCTATTACTTGTTTTCTCATCCTCTTGACAAGTGTCTTTCTCAGAGCAGAAGTGTTAAGTTTTAATGAAGTCCAACTTATCAGTTCTGCTTCATGGATCATATTTCTGGTGTTATATTTTAAAAGTTGTCATCAAAACCAAGGTCATCTAGGTTTTCTGAATTTTATAGTTTTGCATTTTATGCTTCAGTCTTATCACCCATTTTGAATTAATTTCTTTGTGAAGTTTGTAAGGTCTGTGTCTACATTTTTTAAAATGTGCATATCCTGTTGTTCCACCACCATTTGTTGAAAGATTATCTTTT